GGAGTGTATCTGGTGGTATTTGAATCTGTTCAACCATGAAGCCTCCGTGGTCTAATGGTTATGACGCTCGCCTTGACAGCGAGAGGTCGCAGGTTCGAGTCCCGCCAGAGGCATTTTATTACACAATTGTATTATTGTCCTTTATTAAACACTGTATTTACCTTTCTTTGATGATTTATTATATATAATTTAACAGTGTTAACGGCTATCTTGATTTATATTATATGTATATATGTATATATATATATATATATATATATATATATCACATATATATTATGGTAATAACCATTAACAGCATATGAAAATTGCATATATCTAGCTCTATCACACGTTTTTGTTTTACAGTACAGATCGGTTATTATTATATTAATATGTATGCTAAAAAGATAAAATAATGGAAAATGGCAGCCATTTTAAATTGTATTAGCTCAAAAATGAGTACAATATTTAGTTAACTGTTGCTGTCATTGTTATGAGTGAATTTCCAATTGAATATTGCATTTTAATGACATAAACTTACAATATTAATGACAATTTTAGGAAAAAATGGCGGCCATTTTGAAATGGCTGGCAACCCCCCTTACGTATGAAAAAAAATGTTGCACATACTTTTTTGATTTATCAATGTCTACTCTACATCATATCCAATTTTTTTTAAATATAGCAAAAAAAAAAGTAACCTCTGATATTGCTACATTTCGGACTGGACTATAATGTGGGTTTTGAGGTACACCCCAGCAAACACAAAACGTTACATTCGCGAACGTTGCGAATTCTGTGTTTTGAACTTAACTTCAACGTCATTTTAACGTAAAACTGCTAGCTGGGACGCCATGTGGGGGTACTATGAGCGTTGTATCAACATTTGTACGTTCAATCCGGATTGTGGAAAGATTGAATCAATCAATCAACCAATAACTTCCTTCCCATCCAGTCAAGGTTAAAAATATCCAGCACAAACACAAATAGATATTATCTTCACGATTCTAGGCCAACTAAGTTAATTTTCACTTCAAGAACATCATCATCATCATCATCATCATCATCATCCTCATCCTCATCATCATCGTCGTTATCATCATCATCATCATCTTCATTATCATCATCATCAATATCACCAGTTTATCATTATAATTCACACCTCATCATATTCATTAAGATCATCAACATTGATTACCATCATCATATGGCAGACTTAGCCCAAATTTGA